GTGTAAAATATTTCAATTTATTATTGAATTTCACTGTAAATTATTCGACAATTGAAGCCATACAGTCAGTCTTATACACTCACAAATGTTCATATGCCAATATAATAGGAAAAAAAAAAACTCAAAAACCAATCAATATCTTAATATAACAACGGTCATATATAATAATAAACTAAATAAATAAAAATTAAACAAAGCGTTAGAGCCTTATGAGATGAAAACCTGCATGGAACAAAATAAGTCTCATGACCTATTTTCTCAAGCGTGTCCAAAAATTACCCAATTATTGAACTCAAACCCACTAAAGCCTAAACTCAAGGGCGAACATAGAACTTAAAAGTTAGGGGGCATAATCGAATTTGCAAATAAATTGGAAGAAATTCTACAATCGAAAATTTACTTTCAAAAAAATCATACCTCATATAATTTTGTATCCGAAAATTTACATGGGATATGACTTTTTCTGATATAAAATTTTGAAAAATGTTAATGTCATATTTCATATAAAATTTTCTAATAAAATGATGAAAATTATATTGAAAAATTTGTATTACAAAAATGATAAATGTTAATGAAATTATTGAATTTTTTTAAAGAAAATGCCAGTTAAACGTTTTTCTTTAAAACTCACATTTAACGCATTTTTAACTATTTTCGATATATGTTTAGATTATTTGATATGTCTATAATGTAGTTCTCGAAATAAGATTTGAGATGATATAAGCAATTTGTAGATTCGATTAGCGCATGATCGTCGAAAAATTTTTAAAGTTAGTATATTATTGAAATTTTCGAAATACTTTAACAAATCATAGCATTTGCTACGATTGATCATGTCTACGCCATTAAAATCGTAGAAAACTAGACCGTGAACACTTTGAAATAGTATTAAAAATGCAATATTTCTCTCTTATTTGATAGAGAGTTAATATTTTGTTAAAAGACGAGAGAAAAAAGAGAAAAATATAAATTTATTATGATTTTGCCTCTGTTTGATAGATATTAAAATCAAATTTTTAGTAAATTTTAATAAAAGTTAAATATTTATAGATTTCATGAAATATGTTATTAAAATTAATTGTTAACTTTGATTTAGATTAAAATATATATTTCAATCGATATAATACATGATTTTATGTATAAAATTTTTTTTTAAAAAAATCTCAAAAGTTGGGGGCAAGTGCCCAGAGGACCCCGTCCTCCCCACCTACTCATCGACGTTTTTAAATATTATTATGTATTTAAGTTACATATCAAATGATTGTAAATATTGATTTTTAACGGGAAAAATGAAGAGTCTTTTAAACGTAGGGTGAATTAATGGTAATGTTTTTAATGAAAAGGCAAGGTCAATAAGAACCATGTTTAATACTATAAGTTGTAAAATTAACTTAAAAGTATTAAAAATTAGGAAGATTAAATAAGGACATAGTTGACAAAAAACTTTAAGAACAAAATCCGTTAACCAAATAAAGGTATATTGAGCATATAACTAAATATATAAGAGTAAAGTTGGTATTCAAAAGTATCTCATCAATCATTCCTTTTTAAATACAAGGTTGCTACATGTACACTTTCTTTTACGCCCATCTTTACACTTTTTTATATGGTATAAATCTACGCTCGATGCACAATTTTCCTTCACCTAGGGGGAATGTCATCCAAAGATGTACATACAATCATACATGCTATAGCATTATTTTTTAAAAATATTATAGATATGTATGTGTACTCTCTCCGTCCTACAAAAATTATTTTGCTTTTTTTTTTTTTTTTATCTCAAATTATATGTCATTTTCCTTGTTGAAAGTATAATTTGGTTTTTCAATTTTCTAATATGTCCCTATTTAATGTGCTTTGTTATCAACAAATATAAATTACTCATATTTAAATCATATTTAATGTAGAAAATATTAGAAAAGGTGTAAAAAAAAAAAAAAATTATGTTGTCAACTATTTTAATTACATTTTCTTAATTCGTGTAAAAATGGAATCGAGTCTATATTTCTGAGACGAAGGACGTAATGTATATAATTTTTATACGTACAATTTGATTTCAAGGCTCGATGAAATAAATAACTACTAATCTAGATTCACATACGTTACAACAATTAATTCAAATGACACATTTTAAATTTTTAATAGTTTTACTTCTAATCTTCGTGAAAATTTACCAGTTGCATTTATGCACTATGATACTACAATATGTAAAAATTATATGGCCATGAATAAATATTTGTGAAATTCATGATAAGTACACACTTTTTATTCTTCAAAAATAAATGACTCAATCAAGAAGTTTCATAAATTGTGCAATCCATGCTAATATACAATTTTTTTGGGCTTATGGGCTCATGTCATTTGTGGATTGTGACCCATAGTCATAATATCAAGAGGAATTTTGATTTTTTTACATCTTAAGATTTAAAAAAAAAAAAAAGGAATATAATTTGGAAATAACGAAAAACAAAACAATTTGAAAATTGCATACATTAAAATATCACATTCTTTGTCACTTTCATAAAAATGTCACTTACAATCTTCATATTATAAATTGAATCAGTCTACAGCTACAGGAAATTGGTACAGAAATTTGAAATAGTCAACACAAATTTGGAGCGTGTCTGGTGCTGATTTTGGCCGAATTGTAATCAAAATTCTGGTCGTTAGTGGAGCCCGCTTGTGAGATGGCCGGTCAAGGTTTGCGGTTGAAGTGATATGCAAGTATGCAACGGTAGGAAAATGAATTTTTTTCGACTATTTTAATTGCTACCAGACAAACCCTCAAAGATGGGAAAAATACACTCACATGCACAAGATGCTGCTAACAAATTCTGTGAGCCTAGGGAATAACTCTTATATATTATGTGAAATATTACATTCCTTGTTACTTTTTCATTAAAAAGTCACAAACTGCCCCACCCCCACACCACTGCTCTGACTGGAATTTTGCTTTGTTTAAAAAATTCACAATCTTTGTTAATTTTCCATTAAAATATCAATTTTTTTGTGACTTTTTTTAATCAAAGACATTTTTATGTCTTTTCGATAAAATATTTAATGTGTACAATTTTCATAAATAAGCGACCGAAAACATCAAAAGTTCAAGTCTTTTGGGAGGGAAACTTCAACAACAACAACTGCAGCATCTTCCCTGTGGTATAAGAGATTATGGGGCAAGAATTCTTTGAGAAGCTAGAATCAGCCACAGTAAATAAACAGCAGGATAGTTCAAACAAAATCAACCATCAAGTGATGAAAAGATCCATAAAAAGAATATTATTATTAAATATAATGGTAGTTGCAAGATAATAAGCAAAGACCATAAAAAGTTTTTTTTTTAATATCAGATATGTACATCCATCAATTCCATAGCCATGAAGAAAACTTCTAATCACAAACTTAAAAACTATGTTCTACTTTCAAAAAAGGTTACTTTTAATGAGAGCAGCTTTTTAAAGTAATAAGAACATATGTTTTGGGAGAAATAGTTACTTAAAAGTAACTTATATTTTTTTAGGCTCGGGCAAACATGTTCCAAACAGAATTAAGCAACCAGTTATATAAAACAACGCTATGGATCTTAAAATTAACTCTTGTCATGTATTTCCACTTCCTCAAATTGGAGCAGAAATCACTATAGTAGATGTACACTACTGGTAATCAAGAAGATGTGGGAATCCATTGATCTCCTTGGATGAAATTCTGAACGGAGTATGAAGAAACATGCTCAGCTGGAATCTGGCTACTCCAAGCTACTCTTCCTGACGCATTACCTCCGGGCCCAACGTTCCCGAATTCCCCATAATAAAGAGTTTTCAAAGCAAAATCACCGCTCCAAGGCATCCATCCTTCTGGTTTAATGATAGCCTCCAAAGTACAGTGTATAAAAACCGTTCTCGAGTATTCCTTCCATGGCCTACCGAGGAAATTTTTATGTACACTGGGTTTGCTATAATACAAAGCCATGTATGCATCAGTGCCGTTGATTATACAATTTTGAAAGACAAAACCCGTAAATTGGGCAGGGTCAATTCTGCCATGAGCTGTCACAGCATTGTTTTCGCCCTTTTCCGGTTTGATTTGCCGAGGTGCAACTAGGATGAGGCAGTCCTGAAAAAATGCAGCTGAGTTTCCGAATATGAAGTCCACATTTCCTTGGATGCGACACGACTTGTAGTACTGGCGTAAGCTGTGGGCATATAGCGTGTCTTGGTTGCCAAGGAATTCACAGTTTTCTATCACGGAGAGATCACTATCTAGCCGGAAGGCTACTGCTTGATGAGCATCGGGTCCAGCCGTGTTCTGGATAGAGAGACCACTTGCCATAAATCCATCGCCAACGACTCCTGTAACAGGACTTCAAATATTAGAACAGATCATGTATGTCCGCACTCATTTGGGATCAGATCGTGCCTATATCTACGCAAATTGCAGATCGTGTCATATAGTTAGAAACTTCCTTAGGCCAACACAAAAGGTAATGCTGGCACAGAAGTACCTTTCCAACAATTCTCCCTCCCTGTTTCCCCAAAACCCCCACTTACTGGCCAGACAAAACATAATACGAACTCACTTGCCAAACTACTCTTGCAGCATATATCCATATGTTAACGAATTTTCAAGATGGTTAGATCATCATGCACGCCGTAGAGATTTCTACGAAAACAGTGATAATTCATACTTAACCTAAGAAATTATGATTCAAGCTCCGGCATAAACTCTCCAATTATACCCTTTTTTTAACATGACAGTATCAGAAGTATAGGTTTTGATCAGCAGCTGAATTTAACAATTTGATCACAGATCATTCCATTACAACACCTGAACTAAAACTCTCTACACAGCCAAATACAGTTTATAGATGTAGCTTCGACAAACAGATTGGATCATTCATGTGACCGAGACTTTAGAGCCTTCTAGCCCAGACAATGTTCAGATATGCATTCTATTACTCAATGTTCAGATATGCATTCTATTACTCAGTTGATAACCCGCCATGCAAGTAAATGGCCGGTTATGCCAATAGAATGAGAAACTTCATCTCTCTCTCTAAAACTACAGATTATGCAAGTAGCTTCAACAAGCATATTGAACCATTCATGTGACCGAAACTTTAGAACCATTTTCAGATACGCATTCTCAATTACTCAATTCGTAACTCAAAAATGACCACGTGATTGGTTATGCCAAAAGGCAGAGAAATTACGTTACTCTCGCTTTCCCTTTTTTCACCCCCAAACCGGGTGTTGGGGCGTAAAAAGGGATTCTATCATATTAATTCTCACCTTAACTTTGCCGCCTCTGATCACCAAAACGGGGACATTGGGACGTGAAAAGAGATCCTATCATATTATTAATTAATGACAATCAAATAACAAGCAAAAATAACAAAATAATCCGTTTCTTACCAACAGTGGCAGAATTATACGTAGACATCCCGGGTTGGCCGACATTCATCGAGCCCGTAATGACAGTTTTTCCCATGCCATCACCCAAAAATACCACATTCTTCTTCTCCAAGGGGATCCGAACCGTTTCCTCGTAAACCCCGGCCTTAATCCATATTACAAACCGGTTCCCCGCCCCAGCATTTTCCGGCGCGGCATTCACTGCGTCCTGAACCGTTTTAAAATCGCAGCCACCTCTACTGCACACCGTCACGGTCGGTTTCAGTCCTTTAGGCACCCCTCCTATGAACCCGGGTCCGGAAGAATCGGACCCTCCCTCCCAGAATCCGATCCGCTCAGTCTTAGGTGGACCCCAAGTCCCGGTTTTATCGCCAAAATTGTCGTAATTCCACATCATTCCCAACGCGTTGCTGCTCAATCCGATCAGTGAATTCAAAAACGCCATCGTTTTGTCGACTTGGGAAGTGCCGTTCACGTACTTCAAAGCCGACCAGCAGTCGTACTCGAACACCAACACGGCGCTCATCCAAGCACGCGCGTCCTTGATCTTGCCACGCGGAAGAGCCTCATTCGTCAAAGCCATCCGGTAATCCGAATAACGCAGCACCTCCTGGCAAGTTTTCGCGGCGTTCGACCTGTTTAGATTACCTGTAGACGCGTCCAGGATTTCCCCCACCATTGATTTGGCCTTCTCGAGATTCTGGGCCGAAACCCACATGGCAGATTGAATCACTTGCAGAATAGTGGCGTCTGGAGGCACGTTTTTGGATTGAACCAACGAGGCCTCGCATGTGGGTGGGTCACGTGATGCCTTACAGGCTTCACGAATAATGTTATCAGAAGGGTTCGCAGGGGATAGTTTTACGGGGGGCTTATGGGTCTGGTGGCGGCCGGAGGCGGAGGAGGAAAGGTAGAAGAAGAGTAAAGTAAGGATTAATGAAATAAGAGAAGCCATTGAAATGAAGATAAATTTCAAATTCCCAGAGTATTTGATATTATAAATGGTGGGGATTAACAATGGTGGTGGATGGGTTTTTATAGAGTTTCTATGCTGCATCATAATTTTGTATGGTAGTGATGAGGAGGGAAT